CGTTTAAATTTTAATGCTCGAATTTCACCTGCTAAAATTAAAACAACACATTTACAGGCATTTACGTTAGAATTTCAATGCCATAAAAAGAGGTTGGTGCTTCAGAATTGAAGAAAAGAACTCAATTTGTAAACTTAAAAACAGTAAGTAATTTTGGCTTGTTGAACGTAATTTGTCCCAGCTTTCTGAAAACAAAGAATTGATCAGACTTAAAGTTTATCGTTGAGACTTTTTTAATTCTAAATTCTGAAAAAAAACTCAAGTATTTGATATCAATGCCTATACTTTTTTGATCTATTCAGCATTTGATTATAAGCACCTATTACATTGTTTTAGTACAAAATGAACTTTTCGTCTCAATTGGCCGTGCTTCAGAGCAGCCGAGAGCAAGCCATGCGCTATAAACAAGCGTTGTCGGCCGAACTCAAACCGACACTGGAGAAAAAAAATTCGACCGAGTTCAGAACGAGAAGACAAGCGGCAAACGAGGCTAGCTTACGACGAAATGTACGGAAAATGGAAACGAGTCATAATATGACGGTTAACAACCTGAATAAGAAAATCGAAGAATTAAATTATGAGTATGGAAAGATGCGAAAGGTTTGAAATTTCTTCAGTATTTCTAAAATCTTAATTTTTTGTTGTATTTGTAGGATAATTTACTGATATTATTGTAAATAAATATTATAAATATTTTATATTAATAATATTAATCATACTATAATATTGAATATATATTATAAATATTGATTTTTTGTTGTTTTTGGAGGATTGTTTTTGTTGTTTTACTGACATTATTGAAAATAATTATTATAAATATTAGATATTAATAATATTAACAAGACTGCTCGTATTGGGGCGAAGCCCTGAATGTTTCGACCGCCTTTTAATGTTTCAGTAATAACATTAAAAAATTAAATGAAATGAAACAAAATGAAATTTTTTTTTCTAAAATTTGAGTTTTTTTAATGAAAATCATACCCCACACGTCATATTTAGTACAAAAGGATAAATTTCGCTTTCAGCCATTTTGGAACAATTTCTAAGACGGGTTAACTCTCCACTTACGCGTTAATAGCGCGAAATATATTGCGCGTTAATTGTCCCACATTGGCCAAAATGGCAATCTTTAAACCCCCGTAACTTTATGAGAAATGATCACAGGTAAAATATCTTTTCAAATTGAAGCTCAGGACAACAATACCTTTCGAATATAAAAATTCAGTCAAAAATAGCTTGTTAAAAAGTCGAAATTTGTCTGAAGAAAAAAACCCACCCCGAGCACAACTATTCCGTTACTTTCGTATCGAAAGTCGAAACAATATTATTATAATATTAAAAATATATTACAAATATTCATTTTTTGTTGTATTTGGAGGATAATTTATGATGTCAAAAACCGGTCATTTTTTAACTTGGAACTAGAACTGTGATATTAAAGATGAGAAGGGGTCATCAAGAATCGAAGGCGCGGCTCTTTTCCAGTTTTCCTTCACCCCCTTTTGATGTTTTCTGAAATTCAATATATGGAAGTCTATTTTAAATGACTTTTTATGTTATAAACTGCGTTAAAACGTGTCAGCGTGAACAAGTGAACGAATTTGCACAGCATTTTTAACATGCTAAACTTTTGAACAACTTTTTTTTGTAATTTTTCGAGGGGGGTGGGAAACTGGAAAAGAGCCGAAGGCGCTCTTATAAAAAGTTGAAATTAGTTTCAGTGAAGGTTTTTTAGCAAAAAGAAGACACAAAATTTAGGTTTTCTCGAGAAGATAAAGCAGATATTCTTTTCAAAAATTGGAAGTTTTGACCAAAAAAAAAGTATTTTTTTTGGAGCAAGGCTCACCCCTCACTATTAAAGTTGGTGCTGAAGGCGGTTTTAGAATTTTAAAGATTATTATTCATGGAATATTATTGATCAATCGATTACTATCCATTGAATCTTATTGCGGGTTAGTTGGAAAAAAATTCTTATGATAAATATGTAATTAAGGGGTGATACCCTTCAGGTGGCGAGGGTGTCAAATTATTGAAGACATTAAACGTCCATTCCCTCTTGACAGCCCACTCATTCATAAGGATGACAATTCTTTAGTTGATAATAGAGAAAGGTTTGCTTAGTATATCCAATTTTTTTTTTCAAAATCCTCAAATTTGGTAACAACAATTTTAGCTTTAAAAAACGGTTAACAAATGAAAGCTTCAGGAAAAGGCCCAATTGTCCAAGCAGTCTCTTTCCCGAACACTCAGTCTCAGATCTTCTGGCTATTCGAAGGCGAGAGCGTGCGAGTCAATTCAAGGCATTCAGAAGAGAGATAGAAAAATTTGTTCACGCCGTTCTAGCGTGATGGAATCGGAGGTGTCATTCGGAATGGAATGCTATAGCGGAGACGACGAAGACGAAAATTGAGAGTGTCCTACTTCATAATCTTAAACAATTGTGCAAATTGAAAGCTTAAACTGATTCAAAAATTAAATATTTATCCCATTCAGAATTTCAATCACAGAAGTTCACAAAAAAAACAACTGTTTTCAAAGAAAGTGTCAAAAAATTTTTGCTCGTTGTTGCATTTTTTTCAGATCTTTTTCGACATTTTAACTAGCCATTTTTGGCAGATATATTTTTTTTTTCAAAAATTGTTGTTTTCATGAGCTCAAATTGAAAACGGATTTCACTTGTGATCAATTTTTGTCAAGTTAATGCGGTTTAAAGATCGCCTATTTGGCCAATTTGGGACAATTAACGCGCAATCTATTTCGTGATATACACGCATAAACAGTGATAATAAGTATGGGTCAGATTCTAGAAGAGGAGCGGAGATCTTTGATCATATAGATAAGTTTCGAAATCTACTTTCACTCTCTCGGAATTCTTAGGACGATTCTTTTGCAAGATGTTGACTCGGAATTTGTCATCAAGATAACCTCCATCGTGCAGGGTCTTGCAAAAAAAAACCACTGAGTTGCAAGAATTTTATAACACCTTGCAAGATGAGGCTCCTTAATTGATTAACGAGACGCTATTTTGCCCAAAAAATCATCTCTTTTTGAGCAGGAGGTGGATAATGTGGAGGAGCTCTTAATGTTTGGAAAATAACATGTTTTGAATTTGAATTTGAATTTAGAGACAGTATAAAGATCACATATGTTCAGCCCAACTAGCAGTAACCTAAGGGAAACCTAGATAACTGAGAGAAAGCAAAACCGAGTTAAAATATGAGTTTTCATAATTGATCAGAAAAGAGGGGAGGCCAAAACTCTCGGAGTTTCAAGAAGTCCCAATCTTCCAAGCCATCTATTTCCCGAACGCTCAATCATCATCATCATGCTTTCTTCTTTTCGACACATCTCAGACTTCAATCTCAGAACTTCTTGCTACCCGAACGCGAGAGCAGCGTTTGAGTCGTTTTCAGCCAATCACAAAATAGATACAAAACTTTGTTTATGTCGTTGTAGCGTTACGCAATCCGAGAAGCTGACCGAAACTGAATGCTATGGAGCAATCGTGGAAAAAAACGCGGGTACCTTACAATTTACTCCTTAACTATTAAGCAAACTCGAACCTCCAAGTGATTAGGAACTTAACATTGAACTTAACTTGCTTAAGTTTTTTTTTCGAAATGCTTAAGGTTTTTCGAAAAAGTACAATTCATTATTTTTTATGAAGCTCATTTTTGTTGTTGGGACTTGAGAAACACTTTAGCGCCAAAAAATCTGATAAAGCCTCCCCTCTCAATTTTTCTCTCAAATAAAAACGAAACTTCGCGGTTATTATGTGTTCAACAAATAAGAGGTCGAATCAACTCATTTTGCGCTAAAATTGGTCTGTTTAATTGTTATAATTTGATTTTTGAGTGACTCTTTTCAAGAACTCTTTTTTACTCATTAAATTTTCATTAGGTTGGTCTTGTAACTGAAAATTGAATATCAGCATAAACATATCAGCTTGCAAGCACAATTTTTCATTGATTAGAGCTTGTATCTGAAAATAAAATAAAATGTATCTCTAAATTAAGAAAATGTTAATTCAATTGCCAAATTTATAGCAGCTTTTTAAAGAAGAGCAGAACAAAAAGAGCTTCTTGTTTGCAAAATATGCTTACAAATCACAAAGTTACCAGTATGACCTCGTAATGCCATTTTTTAAGTTGAGAAATTGTTTTCCAAAAACGGTGAAGAAAAAGTTAGTTCAGTTTTGGAGTTTTTTAAGCAATAATTTCATCAACTGGACTCTAAAGTTCATCGCTCTACTCGTTGCGCTGATGTGTTTTTCTCCAAAAAACAGGTTATCTGTTGTTTTTTTCTTTACAATCAACACATGCACGTTAAAAATGCAAATAAAAACATGCTTCCGAAAATGCTTCTCAGACAATTTTATGATGGAAACTATGAAAAAAGGTTTTTCTAAGGTTTTATGAACTCTGAAACATAGAAAAACTATGAAAAATTGAAAATTTAGGGAACACTTAGTTTACGTCGTTGTAGCGTTACGCAATCCGAGAAGCTGACCAAAACTGAATGTTATGGAGCAATCGTTGAAAAAGACGCGGTACCTTACAATTTACTTTTTAACTATTAAGCAAAATCGAACCTCAAAGTGATTGGAACCTCACATTGAACTTAACTGCTATAAATTTTGCAATTGCATTAAAACTTTTAAAATTTAGAGATACAGTTTATTTTATTTTCACATACTAGCTTTAATCAATGAAAAAATGTGCTTCCAAGTTTATAGTTTGTGTTGGTACTCATTTTTCAGTTACAAGACTAATCTAATGAAAAATTAATGAATGAAAGTGATTTCTTGAAAACAGTCACTCAAAAATCAAACTATATTACTTAAACAGAACAACTTTAGCGCAAAAAAGCTGAATCGACCTGTTATTTGTTGAGTATACAAAAACCGTGAACTTTCTTTTAATTTGAGAGAAAAGTTGAGAGGAGAGGCTTGACGGAAAAGTTATCAGATTTTTTGGCGTTAAAGTGTTTCTCAAGTCCTAACAAAAAAATAAGCTTCATAAAAAAATTGATTTGTACTTTTTTGAAAAACTTTTAGTATTTGAAACCATCTTAGAAACTAAAAGAAAAAGAATATACTCAATACGAGGCTAAACTTTTCACTGGATTGGCACTCAATGTGTTTTTACGTCCCTGGAATTCAAAGACAAATCTTTAAACTTGTTAAATTTTTTGTCTGAAAGATCAAAGAAAATGAAAAAACAAAAAAAGAGAAGAACAAAAAAAGCTTCTTTGTTGCAAAATCTGCTTACAAATCACAAAACTAACAATTTGACCTCGTAATGCAAATTTTATTAAGTTGAGAAAATGTTTGAAATTAATGAAGGAAAATTTAGTTCATTTTTGGAGTTTTTTAAGCAATAATTTCATCAACTGGACTCCAAAGTTCATCGCTTTACTTGGTGCGCTGATGTGTTTTTTTCCAGAAAATAGGTTATCTGTTGTTTTTCTATCTATTAATACGCTAGCTAAAAATGCAAATACAAATATAGACCGAAAAAGCTAATCACACAACTTTATGATGAAAACTATGAAAAATGGCTGCGCATACACATTTCAAACTTTTTTCTAATATAGTATAATCAATTTTTAACACCTATTTTCCTTTTCCGACAATTGTTGCACTGAAGGAAACTCTTTTATTTTCTTTTGCATGCAATAATCAATATTTTGAGTCGAAAACGTAATCCTGGAACCACAAAAAATGAATGGTTTTCCGTTTACCAAAACTTTTTTATTAAAGAACTAAAAAATATTGTTTGTCCTGTACTTTTTTGTAGGCTTTGAGCAATGCTTGAGCAATGCTTGATGAACTTTCTTTTAAAATTTTTACGAACGTTTGCTATTTCCCTTATTTTGTTGTGTAAAAATATTTTCTCTTATTTTTTTTTCAATGAATCTTCAAATGAATTGCACATGCAAGTCCGTCCAACTTTTAGTGACTCTCGCTGAATGTAACCAGGGTCTTTGTCCCTTCTGCTCGGTTACGAACAAACCGCAACAGCTGATAATAAATTGCTTTCAAATTTTTTATTTTTTAGTTTTCAGAAAAATTCCACGTATATAAAAAAGCTAATCAGAGTCATTTCATGAATTTTACTGTATTTGTGGAAGTGTCTGAAAGGTTTGTGTCAAGCAATTTTGCATATATCAAATTTATTTGAATAGTTTTTTTGGTCAACCCGGTTAGCTGCTTTTACATTGATTTTTGCTGCAACTTTGTTTTTTTTGCCACTGAAACTATTCAATTATTAATAATTCAATTATTAATAAATAAGTGCAGATATGACGACAAAAAAGTACTTTGCAAATCAATAGTTCAGAATGATTCCAAACAAGGCACTTCGCCAAAAATAACTGAAAAATTTTTATGGTTTGCTTCCACTTTCTGGATTTTTTTGTATGATGAATATTTTAATGCTTTTAAGTCCTTCTGAAGCACTTTTTTGCATGAAACAGGTTCGATACTTTGTTTCAATGCTTCGTAACAATGATAATTTCTAAACGTCATACCGTCATATCCCGGTTTCCAAAGGAAGCTTTTCAGGTCTAAGTGAACAACCGAGTTGAAGTCTCACCGTTAACTATCGCGTTTTCTGTAGTATCCCAGTGATCGCTATTTTCCACCGCTGGTTTATGTATAATTCAGAGAGTTTTGCATAGGTAAACCTGCGGTAACTCAGAGCTATTTCAATAATGTTTCCTTAGAATTTCAGTACTAAAATTAAGAAGGTTAAACTCAATCTAGTAGCGTTCAAAAGAGAGTGTGAGTTGATAGGCGCTTTAACTGGATTATATCTAAGACTCGGTGGCGCAAAGGTAGAATAAAAGACTACAAAGCTGAAGGTTAAGGGTTGGAAACCCTGTAGTGAACTATTTCTGCTCAATTTGATAGTTTTTTTATCGCTGTTTCATCGCGGAAAATAAGCCAAATTCGCGCGAAATAATTGATAAAATTTGCTATTGTGGCAATGAACATCAATAACTCATCGATGGCGGTCGCTATTTTGTTTCCCTTTTTCATCGCTAAATTTCGCAGTGAGCTCAACCCGGGCAGAGAACGATTGATGATACTTCAAGTGATAGGTTGATTTTAAGTAACCCTTTTTGACTGTTTTTTGAAGACTCTAATTATGCGTGAAAAAAAAAATTTTTTTTTACAACTAATTTTTCAGTTAGTGTAACTATAACAAATGTAAACTCTGGTGGTGCAGAAATTGAAATTCTCGTATAAAAATTCAAAACCCTATGGCAGCCCTGTAGTAGAATGAATTTGGACATGAAAGCATTTAATTCTAGAAGTAGACATCTTCAACGCTCGAAGAGTAGAAATGTTGTTGAGACCCATATTTGGCCAAACCGTGTTGTGAGAAATCTA